CCACTTAAATTTTCCTAAAGTAATACATACACACAGAATTTCATACTGCAATCCTTCAGGGAAGCCTCAGGCTCAAATTCTCTAGCACAAATTTCTTGGCCCTAAGTTGTCTTTTTTTATTTTTCTTAAAGATTTTTTTTTATTATTATTATTAGAAAGTCAGATTTACAGAGAGAAGAAGAGACAGAGAGGAAAATCTTCCATCTGCTGGTTTACTCCCCAAGTGGCCACAACAGCCAGAGCTAAGCTGTCTGAAGCCAGGAGCCAGGAAATTCCTCCTGGTCTCACACAGGTGCAGGGTCCCAAGGTCCTAGGCCATTCTATACTGCTTTCTCAGACCACAAGCAGGGAGCTGGATGGGAAGTGGTGCAGCTGGGATATGAACCAGCACCCATATGGGATCCCGGCACACGCAAGGCAAGAACTTTAGCCTATTGCGGTGGGCCCCCAAACTGTCTTTTTAATCTTTTTTTTTTTTTTTCACCTTGGTGCCTTAACCTCAGCCAGATTCATGCAGTCAAAATGAATGAAGGTATTGAGAAAAAATAAAACAAAACAAAACAAAAAAATGGAGAAGAAGGAGGAGAAAGGGAAGAAGGCAGCCACTTCACTGAATTTCCTCATTTTGTATGCTCTTATCTGAATTGTTCTCAAATGACAGCATACTCCATGAAACTTCACTTAACTGAAGAAAATGTTACAATAAAAGTAATACGCAAAAGTGTTTAAGTTTCCAGTGTGACTTAACAAGGTGAACTATTTTCAATATGCTTTCCTATATTTCAGATGGTAGAGTTTATTTACACATAAGACTGGTTAGCACTCTAAATAAGATCAGATAAAAATCTGCTTTGTACACTGAAATTTGTGGGTTGAACATCTACTCCCCATTGTTTAAATCAACTCAATGTTGTATTTACATAGATAGCATTGGCCCTGGAATTTGACAGACCTGGATCAAATTCCATCTCTGTCCCCTATCAGAGAGTGTCACCTGAATAGGAACGCTTGGCTTCCAGTGCTGCATTTCATCACTGTTGCAAAAATCAAGTTAACCTTTTAAAAATTTGCCTGGCATATAACTTTTGCTCTTGTGTTCAATAAAACTCCCCCCTTTTTTCCCTCTCTCCCTTCCTCTCTCTGCCCGCTTTTACCTCTCTCTCTTTGTCTAAACATATACAATAAACTTACAAGTTTTTAATTGTATATACATGAACATTATAGACACATATGTGTGCATGTGCACACACAGAAAGCTGCAGTGATTTTTTAAATGAAGTGCATTCAATCATATTGATTTGTTTTAACTATCTAAAAAGGAATAACGGGTTTTTTTTTTTTAAGTTAGGAAAACTATGGATACTTATACAGGGCCTGTTTAGAACACTTTCCAACTTAGCTTCAACCTAGGAAAAATATGGAGAAAATAAAATCACACAAGAACTTTTAAAAGAAAAATGAACATGTGGCAGAGCAAATTTTAATTAGTCACTTGGCTAAGAGTTGGCTAAGCGGCTGAGAATGACATGAACTCTAGTGACCTCTAACACTCCCCTGATCCACACCCACATACACAAACACAACTAGTCCAGTGGTTTATCAACAAGATCAGATGCTGACCTGACAGTCTGACCAGGACCTTGACATCATTTTAAGGCTGCTCTCAGTACTTAGTACCCTAGCACCTGAAGCCCCTTACAAAGCTGCATTCCATTGGTAGCAAAGCAATGTAAGTTTATCACCTGAGTAGATATTAAATGGACAAAATATTTTTTCTACTAATTCCAAACATGCTTGCTTGTGAAAGAATAAGGGATACGCATCATGCTGTTGGATCCACTGATCTTAACCTTGTCTAATCACAGAGAACTAAATTTCAATCTCTAAAATGTTTAGATGAAAGATCCTTTAAATTTCTCTTTGTATTTCATTTTTATTATTTCTTAAACATCAAAATAAAAGATTTATTTATTTTGATAGGCAGAGTTACAGAAAGACACACAGAGGACTAGGGAGATCTTTCATCCTCTGGTTCACTCCCCAAAAAGGATTGCAAAGCAGCTGCAGCTGGGCCTGCCCGAAGCCAGGAGTTCTTACCACTTCATGTGGATGAAGGCTCCCAAGTTGGCGGGCCATCCTCCACTGTCTTTCCCAGGCACCTTAGCAGGGAGCTGGATCAGAAGTGGAATAACTAAGACTCAAACCATTGCCCATATGAAATCACTACTGCCAGAGGAAGCTACTTTACTTGATGCGACATGTCACCAGTTCCCTGAAAGATTCTTAAAGATGGAAAAATGTGCCTAAAAGTGAAACAAAAGCTATACTGTTGACTCTGTGAAATACAGCACGTGTTTGAGAGGTTTCCAGGTTGTGACCATGTAACCTAAATCATAGCTGTTCTTACCCGAGCTTTTTTTGTGAGTCTTAATTTTGTAAGATGAAATGGGAAGCATTAATGTGTTGTATTTTTTTCCCCTCAAAGAAAAACTAAACCATTTACAAAGGAGAAGTTTGGACAATTTTTTTCTTCAGCGACTTCTGTCAACTAGTTTAGATTGTTTGCTTATTTACTCATTCTGTAAATATTTGGAGTTTCTACAAGGTGCAAAGCCCTGGGCTGTGATAGCACTCTAGTCTGGTTTAGTAATTCAGGCATAGTGTTTCCAATTACATATTTATATATTTATATAAAAAGATCCCATAGGGAAGCACAATGAAGAAACTATTTTCAAAGAATAGTTTTAGATTCATAGGAAAACTGAACAGAAAATTGAGAATTCCTATTTGCCCAGGTCCCCAGTCTCCTGTCCCGCACTAATATATCTGTCACCACCGAGGAACCCACAGCAACACATCCTTACCACCTAACGTCCTTAGTTGACTCCAGCTCTCGCTCTTGGTGGTGTATTTCCTATTTTACAGGATCACACAGAACAGCTTCACTGCCTCGGAAACCTTCTGCCCTGCCCACCTGTGCCCCTTACTCCCTTCTACCCCTTGGAAACCGCTGATCTTTTTACTATCTTTACCCATTTCGTTTTCCATAGTGCTGCGTAACTGAAGTCATACAGTATATAGGCTTTCAGAAGGATATCCTCTAGCGATGTTTTTCTTAGACACAACCCAATCAAGAGTCTCAATTATTCTAAAAATGATGCTTGAACAGAGACGTATATATGAACACATGAATATATGTATAAATTATATACAAGTATATTACAGGTATATATAATATGAATAATATATGTGTGTACATATATGTGTCTATAATGCACCATTATTTTATATTCAACCAATTGGGAAATATTTCACGATTAATTCTAAGATGCCATTGACTGTTAGGTGTACTTCCATTTCAAAAATGTTAAAGTGTGTCCAAGTATTTGTAAAAATATGTGCTAGAACTGCTTATTTTTAAATCTATGAGCGTGAAATTAAAAAAAAAAAAAGGATTCTTTATATATTTGAAAGCTAGAGTAACTGAAAAAAGTGAGATTCTACTGACAGTTCATTCCTCAACAGCCACCTTGGCCTGGGCTAGCCAGGAGCGAAGGACTCCATCGGGTCCCCCACCAACATGGCAGGGATCCGAGCACGTCAGCCATCAGTCACCTGCTGTTCCCAGGGTGGGCACCGCCAGGAAGCTGGGGTGGTAAGAGGAGTCAGGACTAGGACTCGGGCAACAGGGGATGCAAGGTCAAGTGGTGTCCTCACCGCTGTGTCCAACACCTTCCAAGCCATCAGATTCCGGAGTCGCCTTCTTGACCACTAACTTGGGAAGAAGCAAAGGTATGGGGAATCCAAAATTGATTCTCAATCCAGATATTAAACTCTTTTTCTCTAAACTGTATTTTAACATCCAACTGTAGATTGAGGTAAGTCATTCAACCACTATTATCTCTAAGAAACAGCAATAATAAAATAATTTCTTTTCAAAATTGGGTAGAACTTTTTAAATCTCTCAAGATGTCATGAGTTGTTTAGAAGGAAATAACTTGAAATAATAAATATCGTTTAAACATAAAACAGTAGTATAAACTCATCTGGGCTAAAGAAACATTTTGTACCAGCATCTCCCTAGCTGGACATTTTTCAAAGAAGCACTAGTTACTTTACTGTAGTTACTCTCTCCATTTTAGAGCCGTGCCTATTCCACGTGTGCAATTACATTTTTCTCCCACCTAGCCACATCTTAAGTTTTTGAAACGTGAAACTAATTTGCAGCTTAATATATCCAAAAATGTATCGTTTCAATATGTCATCAAGGTGAGTGCTGTTAACCGGATGGTCTTGGACCTCAGTGGCGTTAAGACAGTACAGCTTGGCTAAATTTGCTCCATTCTAGGCGCGCACACGGCCCCAGGTGGCTAATGTCTTGCCTGCCTGGACAGTATCATTTGATTCTTCACATCCTGAGCTTGAGAATTCCTTTTAGAATACACACTACCCTTAAAATGCTTAGAGCTCTGTGCAGTTCCTGGAGATTATTCTGCCCTTGGGTCTGTTGTGATTCAAGATCCCACAGCATTCAAAGCAGCGAGGAAGCGACGGTAAAGGGAAGCCTTGGCGACAGGGAACGTGGCCTGGAGGAGGATCGGGCCGCGGCGATCCGTGCCCAGCTGGCAGGGCAGCAGAATCGCCAGGAGTAGCTCGACAGGCTGCCCGAAACCCCGTGTCTGTCTTTTTTTTTTTTTTTTTTTCTGGGGCGCCCCTGTGCTACAGAGCCAGAGAGAGGGACAGCAGCCTGCAGCGGGACAGGAGCCACCGAGGGACTGCAGTGCCGGTGCCTCCGCCCGACGCGGCGAGGTGCACAGCTGCGGAGACCCCAGCCAGTGGGCAAGGTCGACGTGCGCCCCTGAACGCAGGCGCCCGTGAACGCAGGCCGCCCAGGGGCGCCCTCGGGCCGGGGACGCGGCGAGGGCGCGGGCGGCGCGGTGGGCGGGCAGGAGCGAGCGCACCGCCCCCAGGGGCCGGGCGCCGCGGTTCCAGAAGGCGGGGCGCGCCAGGGAGTCGGGGCGCGGGCAGCTGGTTTCCATTTGTACGCGGAGCTGCGGCGGAGGGCAGTGGAGCTGTGCGGCCCTCAGCCCGGCGGCGAGGCGGTGGGGCGGCAGCGGCGTGCTAGAGTCGGACCCGGGGCCGCCAGCGCCCGGAGAGGCGAGCCCGAGGGAGTGCTGGGCAGCGGCTGCCCCTGACCACAGAGCGCGGCCCCGCAGCGCCGGCAGCCGCGAGCGCGCCCGAGACAGCGAGCCGGGGGAGCGCGCGCGGACGGGGGCGCGCAGGCCCTGCCCGCCCCTTCCGTCCCCACCCCCTCTACCCCTTCCTCTCCCCCTCCCACCTTCTTCTCGCCTCCCGCGCCCCCACACCGGGCGCCCACCCTGTCCTCCTCCGGCGCGAACGCGAGAGCGGGCGGCAGCGGCGGCCGGAGCGGGCCGGGCCGGGCCGGCGGGCCGGGGGATGGCGCTGCTGGACCTGGCCCTGGAAGGAATGGCCGTCTTCGGATTCGTCCTCTTCTTGGTGCTGTGGCTCATGCATTTCATGGCCATCATCTACACGTGAGTGAGAGGCAGCTGGAGGAGCTTGTGGCGGGGGATCGGGGCCGGGTGGGCGGGCTGGGGCGGGAGGCTTTTGCGCTTTGGAGGGTACCGGAATTGGGTGAGGGGTGGAGAACAGCTGATGTCCACGCTGATCACCCCATCCCCTCTCTTAGCTTGCTTGAGCGGGGGATCCCAGAAGGGCAGGATTTGGGGAGAGTGAGGGGCTGCTGGGTTGCTGGCTGCTGGCAGCTCCAGAGCCAGGGCCGAGGAGGCTGCTGTTACGTGTCAAGCGGAAGGCTGCCGGCTAGGTCAGATTGTGTTAGGATCCGTCTGGGCCAAGATGTATGGTGTATTGGGCTTTTTTTGCCTTTTTTCTTTCGACGTGGGCCTCCGTCTGTGCTGTGGTGTTCGTTTCCACTCTTCTGGGAGCTGCTCCCAGCTTCCTGGAGACCTCCTGGTGGCTTTGTCCTGGGAGAAGCTCTCAGTTGATAGGTGTGAAACACCTGTCTCTACTTGGGAAAATGTCCACCAGCCCTCCCTGCTGGCTCTGTCGCTCTGTCGAGTCAGGTTGGACATTCCTGTTTGGCTTTTCTTTTCTGTCTTCAGTTCTCACCAGTGGGCTCGTCTGGATTGGAACTCTGCGCCCTGCCCTCCATATCTTTTCATCCTTCTTTTAACAAATACTTGTGGAGGCCTTCTAAGTACCATTCACCGTTCATGGGCTGGGGACACAGCAGAGAGCCGGACCAAATTCCTGTTCCCCTGGCACTTGTATGAAGAAGCAAAAGACAGGTCACAAAAATCCAAGTGAAGCTATTTCAGATAGTGATATTAAAAAAAAAATCTGTGAATAAAAAAGAAGGAAGGGATGAATGGAGACAGGGAACATTTGGCTAGCTTTGATACTTAAGTAGTTAAGCTGGGTTTAAAATGAAATCTATGTCGGTGAATAGAATTGCATAGGGCCCCTAGACAAGGATGCACTTAACTTTTTAGCCTGCAAAAGAAAAAAAAATTTTTTTTATCAGCAGCTAGAATAGAGTATATGTTAGGAGAAGGAAAGGTTTTTAAAAATTACTTTTAGCTTTTTTTACAGAGACCGTATGATTTTCTTTCTTGAAAATATTGCATTGTGTTAGTAGAGTGGCATTCCTTGGGGCCGGAGGGAGCTGCTGCTTGTATCAGGGGCACTGATTTATCTTTGAGAGTGAAAGAACATGCCTTTTTGGATACTGTTCATCTTAGCCTTTGGAGTTTGTGAGCTGTGGTCAACTGAACACATTCCAGAGTTCATCTGTAATAGAGGAATTCTTTAAAAACAATGTTGTTACTTTTTCAGTGGTAACACACCATAATTTGGACCACATTCTGAGAAGAATGAAGAAATGTATCCTATACATTGAAACTCTATTACTTTGTTCACTTTTTGTAACTATCCTTTGAGTTACTGCTCTGGGTAGTTGGCTGAAGGAACCAGAGAGAGGCTGGGAGAGGAGGAGAAAGGAGTGGTGTTTTAAAAAGTCCTGCTTTTTAAAAATTCCTCTATTTAATAAATGCTGACTGGGAAGCTGTAGGATACACAGCACCGTTTTAGGTCCTGGAAATCAGAGGGAAGACTCGCCAGGCTCCAACTTCCTTAGAACTGCCGTGTAAAATATCATGGTTTTTTTTTTTTTCCTGTCAGTAAGTGAATGATCTGTGCATCATTTTTAATAGGTGCGTGATGTTTTAGTTTATGAGGTTCTGGTGTTTATTGTTGACAGGCAGGTCGGTTGTTTCTGATGAATTCATATGGATGTGTTTTGGGGAGGTGATTTCTGCTATTAGGCCGCAAGTGGTATACATTTTACCTTTTGGTATGTCTCTCGATATATGTTGTTGGTTCTGATAACATTGTATCATGGTACACATTTTTAGTGTCATTCCTTTAATTTCCATTGGATACTTTATCACATGTTCATTTACTATTCACATTTCATTGTAAATTACACATTTAATCTCTTTGCCTGTCCTGCAATCTATTGCTGATTATTCTTGTTATGGAGATCACTTTTCCTGCTTGTCATAAGTTGCAGTTTTTTCCCAGTCTGATTTTTGTCTTCCAACTTTGGATTTAATATTTAAGATAAGAAAATTGCATGTGTACATATGTGTTTTAGATAATCAAGTTCAATGTTTTCTGATTTGTGTAATTTTTTCTTTCCTTTCTCTCCCTCCCCCACTATTAGGTATGCTAATCTGATTCCTTTTAATATTTTGACTTTCTTAACTTTTTAAAAAGCTTATGCTTTAGGTCACCTTATATTTTACTTTTTTGTATGGTGAGATGTGAAGTGTTATTTTTAGTTTGCCCAAAAACTTTAACTTGTCCTTGAGTTACTTACTGATGATTGATTGCTCCATTGTTACGAAATACTATCTTTATGAACTTTAGAATCATTTTTGCAGATTCTTAAATAATCTTGTTGGGCTTTTGTGGTTGAAAATATAAATGTGTAGGTCAGTATGGAGAAATTTTCTTTCCAATGGAATCGTGATGCATGGCTATGGATCTACATGATGAGAAGTGCCATATTTAGTTACGTTAAGCCTGCTTAAATACTTCAGCATTTCAGATAACCATCTGAAAGGGTCTATGCTCTTAGACTTGACTCAACTCCAGAACTGCGGGCTTTTGGAGGGCTTAACAATAACAAGTTCTCTTATAATGAATAAAAATTCTGTATCTTTTATTGGAATTCTTTTCGATATAAGGTATAGTATAAATAATTGAAATGGCCAGATATTGATATTCTCTTCCACAAACTTGCATTTACAGCTGGTAGAGATGGAGCTTGTTGTTAAAAACTTAGGTGGTTTTAGGGCCCGGCGCGGTGGCACAAGTGGTTAAAGTCCTCGCCTTGCACGCCCAGGATCCCATATGGGCGCCGGTTCTATCCCGGCAGCCCCGCTTCCCTTCCAGCTCCCTGCCTGTGGCCCGGGAAAGCAGTCGAGGACAGCCCAAAGCTTTGGGACCCTGCACCCGCGTGAGAGACCTGGAAGAGGCTCCTGGCTTCGGATCTGCATAGGATTGGCCATTGCGCTCACTTGGGGAGTGAATCATCGGACGGAAGATCTTCCTCTCTGTCTCTCCTCTCTGTATATCCGCCTTTCCAATAAAATAATAATAATAATAAACAAAACTTAGGTGGTTTTATATCTGGTAGTCAGATTAAGAAGCATAGTCAATGGACTCCTAATTGTTAAAACTGCTTATGAGAAATACATAATAAAATGACAGAGAAAAACTGGAGCATTTAAAAAGCCGAATGGTTACTTTTGGAAAATTAAATATAGTGTAATGGTGTTTAATTAATTCAGTTTGAGAATTGATTTTGCATTTCTTACAGTGTGATTAAGAGTTAAGAATTGGTTTGTGTTTAAAAAAAAATAGAGCTGATTTGGATTGCTACAGTGAACACCTCTTGCTTAGTGAAATTATTTGTTCTGGTTTCACAGATGTTTTACAATTCCTATAAGCCTGCAGCTTAAAAATGTGTTGTAACTTACGAACTACAGAACCATGATTTTTAATGTTTTGAAACTGTCTCCACTAAGGGTTGCCTCTGCCAGTTGCTTTGCTCCCTTCCAGTTTTGATACTGAACTGGGGCTTAGTCATCCTGTCACATATTGTAGATGGCAGACACTTGCAGAATTTCTATCTATGATGTAAGTGTTCAGATTAGAGCCATCTGAAACTCAGCAGCGGTGGAGAGGGGGATCTTATTCCCCACATTTTGAAATTTCTGAAAATAACAAGTGACGAGAGCCTCCGCAGGCATGTGTCTTTGCTTTCTGTGAGGGCAAGCTTGGTTTGCTAGGGTGGGGACTCAGTGAAGTCACATGAAGTCTAAAACTAGTTGTTTCAGACACTGAAAAGACATATATTACTAGATTGAAAGTGAACCTAGACACAGCACCTTCCTGTTCTCCCCAGTCTGTTCTTTCTCCCCTTTTTGGCCATCCTGCATCTTTTTTTTTTCTTCTTGTGTATAATATCCTAATGTTTGGCCTTAGGCTTTTATCTTTTCTATAATTGACTCCAGTGCCCAGGCTAATGTGGAAATACTACTTGTATCTACAAATACTTACCAGCCTCTAGTGAAACAGAGATCCTTTTCTTGACATTTTTCCTTTGGAGTTAGTTCTGCTTTCTACAAACAGGCTGTTGCTAACCTTTCTGGTATATCCACATTTATTCCTGATGTCTAACTTTAAAGTGGAATTTATGTACTTGCCATATCAGGGTAACTGCAATAAATTACTTGTCAGAAACTAGTTATGTTTCTAATGTAAATGTTACATGTGGAATATTATTTTTGATAGGATGACTTTTGCCTTACATTCATGGGTACATGAGTGTTCTGAGCCTGGTGGAATGTAACTTGAGAGCTTGTTCTCTGGGCTCCGTCTGAAGGGTATTCAGGGAGTGAGTGATCAAATGTTGATGGCTGGGAGCAGTGCCGTAGGACCGCTTTTTTGGCAAGTGAATGAGGCAGTTCAGCAACTGACCCCCTTGCATGTGAGGCTAGGAAACATGGAGTTGGACTACAGTATGATAGCTTTAAAGAGCGAAATGAAAGCTGTGGTTCACTTTTCAATATCTGGTGGTGGTTCTATGGATTCCTCATCTCTTTTTTCCATACACATCGTTGGTCCACTACACCCTGTGTCAACCCTGCATGATTGCATCTCTCCTTGCCCTACGGCTCTTCTAGCTGATTGTTCCTGTTGTAGCCTGATCTTTCTGGAGCACTAATCTTGGGAGATGTTTTTGAAACAATTCCTCAAAGCCTTCAGGTTAAGATTCATAAAGTTAAGGGGACAAGCACAGATTTTTTTTTTTTAGCAGTGTTGCCCTGAATGCTCAGTGAACATTCCATAGAATTGTCTCTGCTTCCTTTCTCTCTTTTTGTCTTTTTCTTTCTTTTCTTTTGGCTTAATGAAACCCTTTTCATTCAAGTCATTTTTTAAAGTT